ATAATCCTTTAATGTACTTTGGATCTATTGGCTAGTATTTTGGTGAGAATTTTTGCATCCGTGTTCATCAAGGATATTGGTCTGTAATTCTCCTTTTTGATAGGGTCTTTGGTTTTGGGATCAAGATAATGGGAGTCTCATAAAACGAGATTGGAAGTTTTCCTTCCATTTCTATTTTTGGAGCAGTTTCAGAAGGATAGGTATTAATTCTTCTTTAAATGTTTGGTGGGATTCTTCTGGGAAGGCATCTGGCCCTGGGCCTTTATTTGTTGAGAGACTTTTGATGACTGTTTCAATTTCCTTAGTCATTTTAGGTCTGTTCAGGTTTTCTATTTCTTCCTGGTTCAGTTTTGATAGTTTATACATCTCTAGGAATGCATCCATTTTTTCCAGATTATTTAATTTGCTGGCCTATAGTTGCTCATAATATGTTCTTATAATTGTTTGTATTTCTTTGGCGTTGGTGTGATCTCTCCTCTTTCATTCATGATTTTATTTATTTGGGTCATTTCTCTTTTCTTTTTGATAAGTCTGGCCAGGGGTTTACCAATCTTATTAATTCTTTCAAAGAACCAGCTCCTAGTTTTGTTTTCTGTTCTTTTTGTTTCTATTTCATTGATTTCTGCTCTGATCTTTATTATTTCTCTTCTCCTGCTGGGCTTAGGCTTTATTTGCTGTTCTTTCTCCAGCTCCTTTAGGTGTAGGGTTAGGTTGTGTATTTGAGTCCCTTCTTGTTTTTGAGAAAGGCTGGTATTGCTATATACTTTCCTCTTAGGACTGCATTTGCTGTATCCCAAAGATTTTGAACAGTTGTGTTTTCATTTTCATTGGTTTCCATGAATTTTTTAAATTATTCCTAAATTTCCTGGTTGACCTATTCATTTTTTAGTAGGATGCTTTAGCCTCCATGTATTCAAGTTCTTTCCGACTTTCCACATGTGATTGAGTTCTAGTTTCAAAGCATTGTCATCTGAAAATATGCAGGCAATAATCCCAATCTTTTGGTACCGGTTGAGACCTCATTTGTGACCTAGGATGTGATCTATTCTGGAGAATGTTCCATGGGCACTAGAGAAGAATGTGTATTCCATTGCTTTGGGATGGAATGTTCTCAATATGTCTGTGAAGTCCATTTGGTCCAGTGTGTCATTTAAAGTCTTTATTTCCTTGTTGATCTTTTGCTTAGATGATCTGTCCATTTCAGTCAGGGGGGGTGTTAAAATCCCCCCCCCCCAGTATTGTATTCTTGTCAATGTGTTTCTTTGCTTTTGTTATTAATTGCCTTATATAATTGGCTGCTCCCATGTTAGGGGCATATTTACAATTGTTAGATCTTCTTGTTGGATAGACCCTTTAAGTAGGATATAGTGCCCTTCCTCTTCTCTTATTATAGTCTTTTTTTTATAATATAATTTGTCTGATATAAGGATTGCCACCCCAGGTTTCTTTTGGTGTCCGTTAGCATGGTAAATGGTTGTCCACCCCTTCACTTTCAATCTGGAGGTGACTTTGGTACAAAAATGATCTCCTGCAGACAGTATATTGATGGGTCTTGTTTTTTTCTCCAATTTGATAGCCTGTGTCTTTTGATTGGGGCATTTAGCCCATTTACATTCAGGGTAACTATTGACAGATATGAATTTAGTGCCATTGTATTATCTGTAAGGTGACTGTTAATGTATATTGTCTGTGTTCCTTTCTGGTCTGTTGCCTTAGGCTCTCTCTTTGCTTAGAGGACCCCTTTCAATATTTCTTGCAGGGCTGTTTTCATGTTTGTAAATTCGTTTAGTTTTTGTTTGTTCTGGAAGCTTTTTATCTCTCCTTTTATTTTCAATGACAGCTTAGCTGGATATAGTATTCTTGGCTGCATATTTTTATCATTTATTGCTCTGAATATATCATGCCAGTCCTTTCTGGCCTGCCAGGTCTCTGTGGAAAGGTCTGTTGCCAATCTAATGTTTCCACCATTGTAGGTTACAGATCTCTTGTCCCGAGGATTTTCTCTTTGTCTCTGATACTCGTAAGTTTTACTATTAGATGTCGGGGTGCTGACATATTTTTATTGATTTTGAGAGGGGTTCTCTGTGCCTCCTGGATTTTGATGCCTGTTTCCTTCCCTAAATTAGAGAAGTTCTCTGCTATAATTTGCTCCAATATACCTTCTGCCCCTCTCTCTCATTCTTCTTCTTGTGGAATCCCAATTATTCTAATATCATTTAGTCTTATGGTATCAGTTTTCTCTCGAATTCTGCCCTCATGATCCAGTAGTTGTTTATCTCTCTTTTTCTCAGCTTCTTTATTTGGCATCATTTGGTCTTCTATATCACTAATTCTCTCTTCTGCCTCATTTATCCTAGCAGTTAGAGCCCCCATTTTTGATTAATAATTAATACCCTTTTTGATTTCGACTTGGTTAGATTTTAGTTCTTTTATTTCTCCAGAAAAGATTTCTCTGATATCTTCCATGCTTTTTTCAAGCCCAGCTAGTACCCTTAAAGTCGTCATTCTGAACTCTAGTTCTGACATCGTACTAATGTCCATATTGATTAGGCTGTCAGTACTGCCTCTTGTTCTCTTTTTTGAGGCGTTTTTTTCCATCTTGTCATTTTGTCCAGAGGAGAATAGATGAATGAGAAAACAAAATGGTAACAGGGTAACAACTGCCCCAGAAATATATACACTAAACCAATCAGAAGAGAGCTTCCAGAAAGTGGTCGCTTTTCTGTTCTGAGAATTGTTGCTATTCTTTTCTTCGATCTCCTGTTGAGTTCGTAGGTATTCAAATGGTTTGATCTCTATCTAGTTGAATTCCTGGGACCAGATGAAATTTAGGTCTTCTACTCCTCCACCATCTTTCTCCTCCTCTGATAAATGTATACTTTTAATTAATGATCTTTATCCTTCCAAAGATATTATTCCTATTTAATTCCTATCAAAATTTAATGGGTTCATTTCCCAATACTTTCCCAGTTCTGTATGTAAGTCACAGATAAAAAGACACACACATCCTGGTGTCCCGGCTTGACCCCCACCTCCACACTCCCATGTACTTCTTCCTCACCCACCACATATTTAAAAAAATATCTAAAAAGTAAATAACTTTATATTTATATTTTAAATACTTAATCATCAGTGAGAATGATTTTAATATTTTTAAATCACAGTTCTATAAATAATTTGTTTTCCTACGAACTAGTTCTTCAAGTCATTACCTATTTCTCATTACATGTTTTCACTCCAATTTCTTGAAAAAAAATAGTAAACAAGGTATATTGTCAATTGTCACGTTGATTTGCTCTATTACTGTCATTATTCTTTAGGTTTTGTTAGTAGTAGTTCTTACAGATTTTTTTTAATATGCAATCAAATTTATTTGTATTTTGCCTCATAGCTTTTGAGAATTGCAACTTGTTTTGTGAGATCTAACTAAATCCAAGATAATCAGGAAAATAAAAAAGAGAACAACTGCCATTCTTTCTTATATAGTAGTTGTGTTTGATTTGAATTTGTTTCTGTGACAGGAGTGAGTTAGGGATCCTCAGTATCCCCACTCAAATTCCTTGTCAATGATCCTGTTTTAATTATTATATTTCCATAGTATGTCTGGATGTACATTAAAAGTAGTTTCCTTTCACTAGATTTTTTTTTTTTTTTTAGAATTTCCTTGCCTAGTCTCATGGACTTCTTTGTCATTCCATGTTCATATGACTTATAACCTTTATGTAACATCCATAAAGACTTTCACATATACCAAATTTTTTTCATATTAAAAAAGATTTCAAAACTTACTTGTAAAATAAATAAGGTAGTTTGATTATTACCATTTTCGATCAGAAAGCTATGAGGAAGGTGAAGGAACTTTCCAATATTTCAAAATTGTCTCTTGTTGGTTAAAGGATTGTAACAAGGGAGATTGGAGCTGTAGCCCAAGATATTTTACATCTCTTCCTCTGCATTGATCTGCGAACATTTGTGGTTTATGTCCTAAAACATGCTCTCCTTTGATTGTGATTCATTCTTGGAACTTAAGTTTGATAGATGTTTCTGCACATATATGTGAATTATCACCTTAAAGTTTTATTATCTGTTGGATAATGTTGTGATACATTTTTTCCCTCAAACACTATATAATGCTTTGAAAGGAAAAAAAAAAAACCTCTTATTTCTTTTTTTTAAAGATTTTATTTATTTGAGAGAGAGAAAGTGAGTGTGAGAGCATGGAGGGAGGGGCAGAGGGTAAGGGAGAATTGGGCACCCTGCTGAGCAGGGAGCCTATGCAGGGCTTGATCCTAGGACCCCTGGATCATGACCCGAGCTGAAGGCAGACACTTAGCTGACTGAGCCCCCCAGGCACCCCAAATACTCATTTCTTGAATATCATCCCCAATTAAGAGAAGGAGAGAAAGAAGTGTGGAGGGGTAATTTTATGTGTATATTGCTTTAGTAATATTTTATTATCTCATCATTATTTATCTATTCAGGTACTTCAAAATCATCTCAAGAACAACAAAAAAATTAAATGAGGTTTGTCTTTTGGATAAAGAGTTGATAAAGTATTCTACATATAATGGATATTCTCTAAATACTATTAAGTGGTTATTCTGGGGCTCCATTTGGGGCCTCTGAGGTTTGAACAAGAGCTTGGCAAGTTGGCTCCTGAGAGGAATCCATGTTCGGACCATAGCAGCATTTTCTTTCCAGTCATTGGAATTAGAATCTGTTCTAGCAGTAAAGGAAGAAGATTCTAAGTTCCATTTCCTGGATTCAGAATCAGCTCTGCTCCTTTCTAGAATATGATAATTTGCTTAACAAACATCTGTCTCAGTTTTCTCTTCTGTAAGTCACAGTTAAAAAGAACGCCAACTCCATATCACTGTTGTTGGGGGTTAAATGACTAAATAAGTGTAAAGAGCATAAAAGAATGTTTGTGTCATTGTAAGTGTTCTGTTATAATGGATGCTACTATTATTTGTATCCATTCCTCTTCAGGTACAGTAGAGATGGATGGGACCAATGAGAGCACCCAGGGAAATTTCATCCTTTTGAGGTTTTCTGACCGCCCCCATCTGGAGAGGATCCTCTTTGTGGTCATCTTGATTGCATATCTCCTGACCCTTGTGGGCAACACCACCATCATCCTGGTGTCCCGCCTGGACCCCCACCTCCACACTCCCATGTACTTCTTCCTCACCCACCTATCCCTCCTGGACCTCAGTTTCACCAGCAGCTCCATCCCTCAGCTGCTCTATAACCTGAATGGGCGTGACAAGACCATCAGCTACACAGGCTGTGCCATCCAGCTCTTCCTATTTCTGGGTCTGGGAGGTGCAGAATGCTTGCTCCTGGCTGTCATGGCGTATGACTGGTTTGTTGCAGTCTGCAAACCCCTCCACTATGTGGTGATCATGAATCCACGCCTCTGCATGGGCTTGGTGTCAGTGGCCTGGGGCCGTGGGGTAGCCAACTCCCTGGCCATGTCCCCAGTAACCCTGCACTTACCCCACTGTGGGCACCGCAGAGTGGACCACTTCCTGTGTGAAATGCCTGTCCTGATCCGGATGGCCTGTGTCAATACAGCTGCCATCGAGGGCACTGTCTTTGTCCTGGCAGTTGGCATTGTGTTGTCACCTCTGGTGTTCATCCTGGTGTCCTACAGTTACATCCTCAGGGAGGCACAAAGCCTTCAACACCTGTGGCTCCCATCTCACAGTGGTCTCCCTTTTCTATGGAAACATCATCTACATGTACATGCAACCTGGAAACAGCTCCTCCCAGGACCAGGGAAAGTTCCTCACCCTCTTCTACAACATTGTCACGCCACTCCTGAACCCCCTGATCTACACCCTCAGAAACAAGGAGGTGAAGGGGGCCCTGAGGAGGCTGCTGCTGGGTAACAGAGAGGTAGGGAAGGATTAAGAGTGAGTGGGAGATAAGCATCTCCCTCTGTTTGTCAACTTCTTCAGAGGTTAGTGATGGCATCTGGAACTGTTGGATCAGACCTGCTCTTAACCTGTCTTTCCACATTTATATAACTTTTCCTAGACTTCTACAACTGTTTCAGTTACAAATTATGTTTTAATGAGTGAACTGCACAACACATAGCATTCAAAAACTCCCAAATGATCTGTAATACAGGTCTGAAAAATGAAGTATGATGAATAGTTATAAAGATTTTCACAACTTATACCAGAGTGCCAAATAGGATACTACTTTTCTTAATCAGAATTTTGCCTTTGTTGTTGTTTGTTTTTAATTTATTAACAACTTTCTGGGTCTTTTGGTCAGAATGATCATGAACTGATAACTTCTCTTAGCTGACATCCATCAAACATGGGCTATTTTAACACATTGGGTATTTTTTTTTCAAATACTCATCCAAAGCCTTTCATCAAGTCATGCTTTTTTTTTTTTTCCTACCCCTTTGTCCCCAACCTTTAGCATTTCCCCCAAGTCTGGCTTAAATTGTAGGCAAAACAAGAAATTAACCTATACAAATGACATATGGGTCATTTTAGTCTTAATGCATCATTATTTTTTAGGTATGCTTTTATTTCATTAGTGAGAAAAACTTGATGTTTATTAATCTCCTGATGTGAGTCAGTTGCTCTTAAATCATTTAATCCTCTAGGCATTTGTCAGAAATCAGCATGATTTTCTTTGTCTTTATTTTACCTATGTGGTACTTGAGGCTTCACATTAAATCACTTTCTCATGAAGAAATGAACCAGAGATTCACTCCAAGTTTTGTCTGACTCCCAATTCCTGCTGTTTCTACTGCTCCATTAATTTTTAAAGAGCAAAAATCCTTAAGCATTTAAGTAGTGTCAAAGCCCTTTAGGTCTAAAGAGCAGGACATACTGTCATTCCTTGCATAATACAGCACAGAGTGTAGGAGATTAAAAGGTTTTCCTGGACCCTTTTCATGTCCTGACCGGGTCTGAAAATTAAAGATATATTAATTAGAGAAAAGCATACAACTTTGTTTAATATAAGTTTACATGACATGGGAGACTTCATAAGGAGATAAAAACCCTGAAGAATGATTGTTACACTAGATTTGATGCAGAGTGGACAGTGATGGAGAAAGATGATAGGACAAGTGGGGATATAAGCAAAATGTAATAAACTGGGGTAAACCTAGCAAGGCCTGTGTCGTCAGATTCCTCTCAGGGTCCCGGAATAAAGGTGTTCCTGTCCCCTAGGAATAGGGAGCAATCCCACATGAGGATTTTATGACTTGCTTCGGGGAGATCAGAAAGTTCTTCCTGTACATACCATTCACAATTCCTTCATCTCAAAATATTCAGTACACCAAATGATGCACTTTGAGGTAATGTGTACAAATCCCATCAAGGGCTTCTTCCACTTAATGTGCAAATGAATGATCTGTGATCTTGTTAACATGCAGATTCTGATCCAGTAGGTCTTAGGAGGGGCTTGAGATTCTGCATTTCTGCAAACCTCGCGGGGGGTGCTCTTGTTCACAGCTGGTCCTCAGACCACATTTTAACAACATAACATATAGATTACCCTCAGCTCTCTTTGCAAGTATTTG